AGTTGGGGTGATGGCTGTTGGGCTGCTGGTTCGGGAACTCCTGGGGGTGCCTCGTTCGGCATGGACTCCTCTTGGATGGGGGCGTCAGCTTGCCCCCTGGGTTCTGGAGTGTGCATTCCCACTCCTGCCGTTAACTGAGGGGTTTCGCCTGCCTCCGGGAACTGTCGCCTCTGTAGTTGGTCAATGTGCCTTTGTAGAATTCGTCCGTCATCTGTCAACACTTCGTAGGACACTGGGCCCCTGACATTGGTGACTTGCCCTGCGATCCATGGAGGCCCAGTCCCGTAGTTCCGGAGGAATACAGGGTGCCCTGGGAAGAACCCTCTCGGAGCCTCGTGCTGTTCGATCAACTTCCTTGCGTCCGGCGCTCGGTCTGGGTGCAGTCGATCCAACAGCGTTGTCAGGCACCGGCCCATCAGGAGCTCAGTGGGGCTGTGGCCGGAGGCGGGGTTCTCTGGGTCAAAAGGAAACGGGCCAAGCGGAACTCCCAGTCCCCCTCTGAAATCCGGCTCAGGGCTTCCTTTGCAGTGTGCACCATCCGTTCGGCCTGGTTGTTGGTTGCGGGGTGGAAGGGTGCCGAGTGGATGTGTCTAATCAGGTTTCTTTGTAGGAACTCCTGGAACTCTGCTGACGTGAAGGCTGCCCCGTTGTCTGAGACTATTGAGACTACGCAGGCCATGCGTAGCGAAGATCCGGCGTAGGGTTCTGATCACTGCCTTTGTGGATGTGGTAGACACGGGGCTAACCTCCAGCCATTTAGAGTAGGAGTCAACCGTTACCAAGAATAACAGTCCCTGAAATGGCTCGGCAAAATCGATATGTAGCCGGGACCATGGTTTGCGGGTTGACTCCCATGACTGCGTCGGTGCGCTTGGCAGGTTGGGCCGAACCTCTTGGCAGGTTTGGCACTTCTGGACCCAGGACTCAATCTCGGTGTCGATTCCCGGCCACCACACATAACTCCGGGCCAGAGCTTTCATCCTCACTATGCCGGGGTGTGCCTTGTGGAGAGCTGTGAGGACTCGCTGTCTCAGAGCACTAGGGACCACGACCCGGTCTCCCCACAGGAGGCACCCTTTCAGCACTGATAGCTCATCCTTACGGGTGCTAAAAGCTGTAAACTCGGCCCCCGGGGCGGACGCGGGCCAACCCCTCACCACCCAGCCCAAGACCCGGGAGATGAGGGGGTCGTGGGTCGACTTGGCCGTGATGTCGGCAGCGTGCAGAGGAGGCTCAGGAAGATCCTCGACAAGCAGGACCCCTGGTGTGGGGGCGGGATCTGCGTCGGCGACAGGCAGCAGTAGCCAGCTCAGAGCGTCGGCATGACCCATTGCCTAGCCCGGCTGGTGTTCCAAGCAGTACTGGTAGCCCGCCAGGAAAAGGGACCACCGGAGTACCCAGGGTGACAAGACCTGGGGCGTTTGCTTGTCGGCGGCCAAGAGGCCTAAGAAGGGCTTATGGTCCATAAAAATTGTAAAAGGGCGCCCGTAAACGAAGTTGTGAAATTTTTTCACCCCTGCCACGATCGCCAACCCCTCCCGGTAGATTTGCGCATAGTTACGCTCTGCGGCCGTTAAAGTTCGTGAGTAGTAGGCCATGGAAACCTCGCGGCCATCAGGGAGGACGTGGCCGAGCACTGCACCGATGCCGTAGGGAGAAGTGTCGCACGCAAGGACCACTGGGAGGATTTCGTCAAAGTGGCTAGTACGTCGTTAGAAATTAAAAGCGCTTTCATCCCTCTGAATGCCGCCTCCTCCCTCGGGCCCCATGTCCAAGTGGCCGACTTATCCAGTAGCCGGTGTAGGGGCTCTGCTACCGCAGCCTTGTGTGGCAAAAAGGCGTGATAAAAGTTTATTAGTCCCAAGAACACCTGTAGTTTCGCTTTGCGTGTGGGGGCGGGAGCCTCCACGATGGCCTTCACCTTGTCCTTCGTTGGATGAAGGCCGGTAGCATCTACCCTGAACCCCAGAAAGTCCACCTCTGAAACCCTGAGGAGGCACTTCTCTCGTTTCACTTTGAGGCCAGCCGAGTTAAAGCATTGCAGGACGGCGTGGAGGCGGGAGGTGAAGTCGTCGGGGGACGCCGCGGCGATCCAGACATTGTCGAAAAACGGCATCACCCCAGGGATCTCTTTTAACAATGAGTCCATTAGTTGGAAAATCCCCAGGGCTACGTTCACGCCAAATTGTAGCCTCTTTACCTTAAAGGCCCCCCTGTGGGTGACTATGGTCTGCGCCATGGCCGTGGTCTCATCAACCGGCAGCTGTTGATATGCTTGTGCCAGGTCTAGTTTCCCAAAAATCTTAGCTCCCGCTAGTGAGGCCAGAACATGACTAACGACCGGGACCGGGTAGAAGTGGTCGTGGAGGGCCTTATTAATTGTGGATTTGTCGTCTGTGCAGATGCGGACTTCGCCGTTTGGCTTGAGGGGGGTCACGATGGGCGTTTCCCATATAGCGTGTGGGACTGGCTCCAGGACCCCTTGTGCCACCAAGTGGTCCAGCTCCACATCAATTTTTGGCCATATGGCAAGTGGAGCTGTGCGGAACCGCATCTGGATAGGAGCCACCAGGGGGTCTAACTGTAAGGAGACTGGGGGGCCCTTGTAGCAACCTAAAGTCCCATCGAAAACAGCCAGAAACTCCCCGAAAATCTCTGAAAAATCCCTCAGACCACATTTAAGTACTCCCCTGATCCCAACCGTGACACCCAAAGGCGCAAACCAGGCCCATCCCAGCAGACTGACCAGGTTTCCCTCCACCACTATCAGGTCAAACAGTCCCTTGAACCCCTGGAACTGTACCCGGAACGTCCCCATCCCCCTGATTGGAACCGGGTTCCTTTGGAAGTCCACCAAATTCAAGTGGGAGGGCGTAACCGGGGTCCCCCCTTAAAACAAAGTCTGCGTAGTGTGTCCATGGAAATGATGGATGCCGCTGACCCCAAGTCCACTTCCATTGTGCAGGGGGACCCTTCGATACAAACAGTTAACTGGATCTTTGGGGTAGCCTCTCACTTCGGGAGGTGGAGTACCTTTAGAGATGACCGGTCTGTGAGGAGGTAGAGGTCGGACGTCTCTGCTGCCATCTCGTGGGTGGCGGCATCCGGGTGGCGTTCCTGGGCTGGGGGCTGCTGGTGCCAGTTTTCTTTGGACTGGCAGACGTGAGTGAGATGACCCTGTTTCCTGCAGGTGTGGCATGTCGCATCGCAGAATCGGCACGACTCGCGCTCGTGTGCCTCACCGCAACTAGCGCATGAGGAATGGCCCGTGGGCTTTCCGGTGGATCCTGATGCCGCAGGACCCGGTGGCTTTCGGCGTGAGGGCGAGCGAACAAGACGAACGTCCTCCTCCTCCGAGTTCTTGGGGCCCGAGTCGGGGAGTACTAGGTGAGATGTCGCTGGCAGATGGTCGCAGTGAGAGGCCTCATGGGCGATGGCGAGTTGGAGGGCCGCATCGATCTTGATGTCAGTGGTACCGATCATCTTCCTCCGCAGCTTTAGGTCACTGATGACCCACGCAAATTGCGTCAGGAGGTTCTCCTCCACCTTGGTGAAGGCACAGTCCATGGCCAGCTGTTGCAGGGCCGCCATGAAAGCTGCGGCCGACTCACCCGGTTTCTGGATGTGGGCCTGGAACTCAATCCGCCTGGCGAGCATGGTTGGCCGGGGCGTGAGGTACCTCATCAGGGTGTCGACTATCTCCATGTACGAGTACTCGAGGATTGATCGGGGTGTGAGGAGGCTCTTTGCTAGGCGGACAGTGTTCACTCCACAGGAGCTAAGGAGGAGGGCTCGTCTTTTGCCTGGATCGGTTACTTCATTGTAGACGAAGTGGCAAGTCAGTTGGTCGGTCCACGAGTCCCGGAGTTCAGGATGGGTTGGATCGAAGATCTCCAAGTTCCCCCAAGCAGAGGCCATGGCGTAGCGTTAGCGAGGAGCAGTGTTCCTTGATGCAGTGCGGCTTGAGAGTGATGCGGGGTGCGTTGGCTGGAACGATGCTCGGTGGTGTGCTGGGATGCGAGCCAGGCCTGGCTCAGCGGGATCCCACCTTCGTCGCCACTGAAAAGTACTGGGTTCGCCGCATGGAGGACTCGGACGACAACATGCTCTTGCACACGTTTATTGTACTTAACACAAGACTAACTAAAACAGCCCTGCAAGGCCATCTATATACACACCAACCCAGCACAGTCCATTGGAGGGTTTGAATTTCCCGCCAGAGTGGCTATTGGTTGGGGCTGGCGGGAACTAGGATCCTATGTTCCTATTGTCCAGGGGAGCCAAGCTCCAGTCTTCACCGTGGACCTGTCAGAACCCACAGCTCACAACGAAGTACACGCATTCAGGAATGGTTATACGTTTATTGCAAAGCTATAGATGCAGTAACACAGGCACTGTTAACGATGGCGGCAACTCATTGAGCATAATAGGATATAGGGTATTCGTATGCAACCCCCCCCCCCATGGCATGGGCCAATTAGGTACCCTCTCGCGTGCAGGATCAGCCAGAAAACCGTTAGGTGGCGAAAGCTGGGAAGCAATAGTCTCTCACGGTGAATAGGAGACTTCCAGACAATACAACTTCCAACATAACAACCTCCTGCACATCTGTAGAGATAAGCATTGCGGCACAGGCAAAACAGCAGAGACAGGAATGAAATAGCAATTACCAAGACACAGAATGAACTCCCCAACCCCCATGGCAGCATAGCTGACAGGACCCCTAGTGGCGGTCCGTGTACGTAACACACAGAGCCCGAGCTCTTATACCTCTTTGCATCACATGTTGTGCAGGTTTACCCTCAGCCTACCTCTTACTACTCATTTCATTCTGGTGTTCTAAATGCTGTTCTGGCTTGCCTGGGTATCATACGAGGGTACATATTTGGAAGGCTGAAGCTGAGAACCTTCCATACCACTGAGGCAAAGCATTCAGCAGCTGGATAACATAAATTGGACTATTCCTGTGAAAGCCCCAACAATCCTGCTCTACGACTTACATTATACACAGCTTGCTTCTCTCGGTCCAGCCTCATTGCTGTCTGGATCAGCCCACTGTTAGAGTCGATGGTGAAGTACTCCCAGTCTTTATTCCCTGCACCAGTTTTGAGTAAGTTGTACTGCACAGCTCCATTGAGGCCCTCATCCTTGTCAGTGGCATAGACTTCATACACATTGGATCGCAGAGGGATTTCCTGTAAGCAAATGCAAGCACTACATCAATAGAGAAGCTATCAGGATGTAAACTCCAAGTACTTGCTTCTGGGCTCATTTTTCTTCCATCGCTAAAGTCTCCTCAAAGAAGAGTGTCCTGCCACACTCATAGCAGGAATTGTTTCAGCAAATAATTCTAAGTGCCAGTGGTTTTTAAAGGAAGTCCCAGCTAAGACAGACCTTAGCTGTGGCAATCTGCATAACCTTTGCTACTCTGGAGAAGTTGCTCTGACTGACGGACAGACTACGCAAGACTTTGTTAACAAGTTGAGTCTGGGGTCCCAGCAGCCCCATTTGCCCTTTTCGGAGTGAGGCATGCAGTATCCATGCACATGCAGCTGTGAAAAGTGGGGAGGACTCCCTCTTGAGCCTTTCAGCTCTGGGAAATGGTGTGTGTGAGAAAGTCAGGCGCTCCTCTCTCTGCACTGCAGTCCCAAGCCCTATTGGGACCCCAGGGAGGTTTAAATGGACGATCTCTGCAGCTGCTGTGATACTGTGAGGAAAGTGAGGTGGGTCTGGGGAACTTGGAACCCAGACCCGACTCTTTAAAAGCAACACTTATCCCACATAGCTTGGCCCTGAGAACAATGAGTTGCAAGCTCACTCATGATCACTCCCAGAAGTGGAGAGAGCAGCTGAAAGAAATGCATGGCACAGTTTGTGATGTGAATCTAGCTAAGGCAAATTCAAGCATGTTTCTTTTTTATTCTATCCAAATACCTTTCCTCATTTGTTTGTATTACTAGTCTACCACCTGGTGGACAGATCTGCCGTATTTACACATCTCTCCTTATATATAATTGAATAGTGGGTGCCAAAGTTCTAATTCTAAAATGCACTCCCTTAGTGTATGGCTGATGGCACTGCTCCTCAGCATATATCGCCACCAATCAGAAGGCAAAGCCGGGTCCCGCCCATACCACCACAACTGCTGCGACAACCTGGTCTTTTGCATATGGAAGCTGATTGGACTTCACTCCATTCCACACCTCAAACTCCCCCCCCCGCAAGGCAGTTGGAATGTCAGTTGTATATGGAACCTGCTGTATTCTGGTGGTGTGCAGGTCCCAGGTTCATGTTTTAAAAGCAGACTGACACTGTTTGCCCAAAGCCAGAGCACTCTCCCAGAGCCTCTTTCTAGATCCCGTTGTATTTATTTCCACAACGGGCCTTATTTCTAGTCTGCCATATTTTACATATCCATATTTTACAAGAGAAGCCTAATTTAATAATGGCTAAAGCAGAGGTTTTTTTTTTTTGACAATGCAGGCATATCTATGGTGCCTAGGGATGGGTACAAATTAAACCATGAAGCAAAATCCATCATGAATTTTGCTGATTGTGGTTTGCAAAGTCAAGTTTGTGGCAGGGCACCCAGCTGAAATTTTTCACAAACTTTGATATTGTTCATGCAGGTTTGTGCGTGTTCATGAGTGGATACATTCCCAGACAGTCTCCACTTAATCAAAATGTTCACAAAACTTCAAAGCAACAATTTGGAGGGCATGTACATAAGAACATAAGACAAGCCCATCCAGTCCAACACTCTGTCACACAGTGGCAGTGAATTCCATGTGTTAATCACTCTTTGGGTGATGAAGTACTTCCTCTTATCTGTTCTCACCTGACTGCTCAGCAATTTCATTGAGTGCTCACGAGTTCTTCTATTGTGAGAAAGGGAGAAAAGTACTTCTTTCTCTACCTGCTCTATCCCACACATAATCTTATGAACCTTGATCATGTCACCCCACTGCCATCGTTTCTCCAAGCTAAAGAGCCCCAAGCACTTTAACCTTTCTTCATAGGGAAAGTGTTCCAACCCTTTTATCATTCTACTTGCCCTTTTCTGCACTTTTTCCAATGCTATAATATCCTTTTTGAGGTGTGGTGACTGGAACTGTACACAGTATTCCAAATGAAGTTGCACCATTGATTTATACAGGGACATTATGATACTGGTTGATTTGTTTTCAATTCCCTTCCTAATTATCCTGAGCATAGCGTTAGCCTTTTTTATTGCAATTGCACACTGTCTCGACATTTTCAGAGAGTTTAAAGACATCTGCTGCGACTCTGATGTCTTTAGCTTGCACAGGATCTGTTGTATACATTCCTGACCCTTGGTTATTTTGACAGGCACAAGTTCAGGTTCATTTCCCCCGAAAGGCACTCTTCTGGAGCATCTTCGGGGGGGGGCATAACTCAGATCCCATAAATCCAATCCTCACTAAACTTGGAGGGCAGGTAGAGGAGAGTTAAATTGAGATCCCCTGTGAGTTAATGTCTCTAGCATGCTGGGGGCCATTCTACTACGTCACGAACTTCATAAACCAAACCCATTTGTAAGACGGCTAAAATTCGAGACGGTCCATGGTTCACAAACATGTTCCCGGTTTGTGCCCATCCCTAATTGTGCCCATATTCTAGTAAATACAAGTGGGGACAATTCAGAAATATGTGTGCATGCCCCCCATCTTCCAAGGCCAGGCTTCACAACTGGTCTGTACTTAATGAATCCTGTCTGACTAGCATAGTTGATTCATATGTAATTTTTGGCCTTTTCCCAGAGGGTCATGTTCTTTTAAGAACTGCCAGGGTACCAGAACCACTTTATTTGTCAAGATCACCATTCTTCCACCCTAGCCTGCTGAGCTCTTTAAATCTGAGGAGGTTTGCACATGTCATGCTAGATAACAACTTGCACATGTCATGCTAGATAACAAGCTAGATAGAAACTTTTGCGGTTTAATCCACAGTGAACCTGGTTTTGTTAATTTCAGTGCTAGATAACAAGCCATGCTAATCAAAACAAAGTTGCACATATATTAGCAGTGGACATTAGACATGCTAAATAACATGGGCTGTGTAATCTATAGAAAGTCAGATCTGGAACTCTGTATCATAGTAGAAAGATGAGAACTTCCAGATGAGGGTTTACCTCTTTAATGTGCAAGATAGTACCATTGGGGGGTCGGACAAATGTTGGTCGATTATCGTTGATATCAGTGACATCCACCTGCAGCATGGTAGTCCCCCAGAGTGGTGGAGTTCCCTTGTCAGTAGCTACCACTGTCAGGTTAAACCTCTCATAAGACTGCAGACGCCTGCGAGTTGTTATGAGCCCTGAGTCCTTATGAATTTTGAAGGCCTCTATGAACAGAAGAGACACATTTCACTTAGGATACTGCATAAATTGCTTACGAACATTGTTTCACTGGAAGAGAAGTTTTGTCGTTTGTCACAGGGCATGAATTTTAAAAGACTGGGAAAATGCAACAGAATTTATGCGTAAGGGAATTCATATGCCAGCAGATTACACAGTATAAATCCTTTCATACTAAACCATCATTTGTACAGCTCATCAACATACCAATATAACGAATCCATATAATAATAGCATCACTCCTACTAGTAAAAAATTATGCTCCTGTGCCTATAAACAGGGCAGTGAATCATGGCCCATCACAGACAAGGTAAGGGGATGCTTTATGCTCCAAGGCACAATATTAGTTTGTAAAGCAGCAAGAAGAGTGAGGAGGAAAAACATCAAAGCATGGCCTTGTGAGAAAAACAGGTTGCTTACCTGTAACTGGTGATCTTCGAGTGGTCATCTGTGCAGCCACACACCATGGGTTTCACGCCTACACTGAGCCCTGGCCGGGACGCCTAAAAAAGCTTAACATACAACCTACCCCACGCGGAGTCCGCCCCAGTCTCGTGCAGCCCTCCCTCACTGCGCATGCTCGGTGACTGAGGCAGACTCCCCCCAGTTACCTTCCCTACCGCCGACACTCCAACCTGTAGATGTCAGCAGCGGGGATGGCCCAGGTGGGCGTGTGTGGCTGCACAGATGACCACTTGAAGATCACCAGTTACAGGTAAGCAACCTGTTTATCTTCTTCGTGGTCTCTGTGCAAGCCACACACCATGGGTGACTTGCAAGCTAAACACCACTTAGGATGGTGGATGCTGGCATCTGTAACCCCACCAGTAAACCGCTCAGGTTACGAAGAACTACAACATACAATGCAATACTACCATTTTGTAGTTTATTCTGAAACAAGGGAACAAAAAAGAAAGCAATTAACCAAACAGGAATGTCATAAATATTTTTCCCGTTACATTTCCCTTTCTCGTAACATTAAACACTTAAATCATGTCTATGAGCTCAAGGAACAGTTCTAACATCTGACATAAACGTTTTGGGAGAAACATTTTGCAAATAACCTATTAGCAAAAAAATGGATTTGAGAACTGTCTGACCAAAGCGGGAATCCCTTCTAGCCCTAACATCTATAGCATAGTGCGCTGTGAACGTAGATAGGGACGCCCACGTAGTGGCCGCACAGATATCCTGCAGTGGAATGCCTGCCAAGAAGGCCGCGGAGGTCGTCTGACTGAGTGGGCTTTTGGCACACCTGGTAGGGGCATGTCTGCCAGTTGGTAGCATAGGGTAATAGCAGAGGAGACCCATTTTGAGAGTCTCTGACTAGAAACTGCTTGGCCTCGCTTTGGTTTGGAGTAACATACAAACAATTTACTGTCCTTCCTAAATTCTTTAGTCCTAGACAGATAGAAAGCTAGGGCCCGCCGAACATCCAGCGAGTGCAGCACCCTCTGGCCGTCATCTCTCGGTCTGGGAAAGAATGCTGGCAGGGTGATATTCTGAAATAAGTGGAAAGGTGTTTTGGTAGGAAAGAAGGATCAGGCCTCAATACCACCTGGTCAGCATGGAAAACCGTGTACGGAGGGTCGACCCTCAAAGCACAGAGCTCACTTGCCCTCCTTGCCAAAGTTAGCGCTACTAACAGCGCTGTCTTCCACGTGACCAAGTGTATAGGAGCTGTCGCTAATGACTCAAATGGTCGCCCCATCAGTTTTGAGAGGACCAAGGACAGGCTCCACGACGGTATGAATGGTCTCTTAGGCGGGTGGGTATTCAACAGGCCTCTAAGGAATACCCTGATCATCGGATGAGAGAAAGCCGATCTCCCCTCTACGAGGTCATGGGAAGCTGCTATCGCAGCCAAATGCACCCGTATCGAAGAGTAACTAAGCCCCTTCCTATACAAGTGAACAAGATATGTCAGTATCATTTCTATAGGTGCTTGACAAGGGTCAGTGTTCTGCTCTGTTGCAAAGGCGACGAAACGCGACCACTTTTGTCTATAGGACCTATGTGTAGAGGGTTTTCTTGCATTTAGCATGATCCCTGCCACTGTTGGCGATGATGTCACGCCTGAATCCTCCATGCTGTCAGTTTGAAAAGGGCGGGGTCATGGTGCAGGACCTGGCCGTCCTTCTGAGACAACATATCCAGACTGGTATGCGCTTTTACCTGCCCTTTGACAGTTCCAGTAGAACAGGGAACCATGGCTGCCTCGGCCACCATGGTGCGATGAGAATGAGTGACATGTGATCGACCCTGATCTTCTGCAATACTCGGGAGATGAGTGGTATCGGAGGGAACATGTAGAACAGGTGTCCTCTCCACTGGTGCAGAAAAGCGTTCCCCAGCAGAGTACTCGATGGACGGTCCTTTGAATAGAACAACGGGAATTTTGCGTTCTCCACTGATGCGAAGGCATCCAGCGTCGGCCACCCGAAGTGGCAAAACATGCTCTCCACGCATTCCCATTTCAGGGACCACTCGTGCTGGTTCGTGCCCCTTCTGCTCACATCATCTGCTTTGGTGTTGTCTGATCCCGGTACATGTACTGCCGTTAGTTGAATGCTGTACTTCAGACACCATTCCCACAGCTCCATAGCCAATTTGCAGAGCGCTATTGACGCTGTTCCTCCTTGCTTCATGATGTAATTGTATTGTCTGTCGCAACCTGTACCCTTTTTCCCTTTAGAATTGGTGCAAAGGAAAGCAGTGCATGTCTCACTGCCAGCAGTTCTAGGTAGTTGATGTGGCATTCCTTGAGTTTCTTGGGCCATTGGCCCTGAACTGCCAATTTTCCACAGTGCGGTCCCCATCCCCATAGGGAGGCATCCGTATAGATTGTCAGCTCTGCAGGTGTTTTCAGAAAGGGAATGCCCTGTAGCAAATTGACCATGCTGGTCCACCACCTTAGAGATTGTACAACTGGTGCTGGAATAATGAGTCTTAGCGAAGCGTGCACCAATACTGGGTTGTAGTTGCGGAGGAACCATAGCTGCAGGCTTCTCATTTTGAGCTTTGCCATTGGCACAACGCATATTGCTGCAGCCATTAGTCCCAGCAATCTCTGCACTACCTTCGCCCTCTGCATCGGGCAAGCAATGCAGTCTAATGCCAATGCCTGTAGCGTAATTGCTCTGCCTCTGGGAAGGAAAGCTGTTGATGTGCCCGTGTGGAGATATGCCCCAATGAACTCGATTCTCTGTGTTGGTGTTAGTAGCGACTTTTGGTAATTTACACAGAGGCCTAGGCGGCCTAAGAGGTTCAACGCCTCCCTGATGTCCTGCTGCAGCCTCTCTGGGGATGACGCTACAAAGAGCCAGTTGTCGATATATGGGAAGATCAACATTCCCTTCACCCTTAGGTGAGCTACCACCACAGCCATGCACTTGGTGAAGACTCTTGGTGCGGTGGACAGGCCAAAAGGGAGTGCTCTGTATTGATAATGGACGCCACCCACCTGGAATCGGAGGTATCAACGATGTTGTGGGCATATTGTGAGATGAAAGTAAGCATCTTTTAAGTCTATCGACGCCATCCACACACCTTGAGGGATCAAAGGCAAGATGGTCTGGAGCATGACCATTCGAAATTTCCTTCTCCCAATGTGCCTGTTCAACCCTCTGAGATCCAGTATGGGGCGTCTTTTTCCGTCCCTTTTTGGCACTAGGAAGTATTTCGAATAGTTTGAGATGGCGGTGTAGCCACTATATGGGGGGTCGTGGGGCATGAATTGAACACTATTGCGTATCCCACCCTGATTATTGTCAGTACTCAATGATCGGTGGTGATGTTCTCCCACTCGCTGAGGTAGGGTAGCAGGTGGGTTCCAGTCCCCATGGTGCCGGTGGTGACAGCGTGCCCGGCTGGGTCGCATACACCGTCAAAAAGACTGCTTTTGCTGCTGTTGTGGAGCACTTTTCACCTGGGCAGCTTTAGACCTGGGATGGTACTGTTGCCTTGATGTGAACTGGTGGCGTTTCCAGGTTTCTGATAGGTTTGGTGACTGTGGGCGGCGTGCAAACTGTGGCTTCCACATTCTTTGCTTCTATGTTCGTTGCGTGTACTGCCCCCCTGTACTCCCAGACCTCGCCCGTTTGCGGCTCTCATCAACATCCTTGAGGACGTCATCAGTAGTCTTATGAAATAATCCGCAACCATCATAAGGGAGGTCTTCAATCCTCTGCTTGATATCTGTCTGGAGCGAAGTTGATCTGAGCCAAGCATGTCTCCGAAGGGCCACCGCCGTGGCCATAGTACGCGAGGAACAAGATACGGTGTGCCTAACTGTCGCGACCTGCTGTTTCGCAGCTCTCTTCGCTTCTTGTATAGTGACCGATACATCCCCTTTTACATCTACTGGCAGGTAATCCAGCTGACCCTCTACCTTGTTTGACAGATTGAAGATGTACGCCAAAAGGTAGGAGATGTAAGTTTGCATCTTTGATGCAACCGTAGTGGCAGCGTAAACCTTCCTTGCCATAGAGTCTATTTTCCTCCCCTCCCTGTCAGGTGGGGCCAGGTACCGCGACTGCTTCATCCTTGATGAAGAGTGCACCACAGAAGAGTTTGGCTCAGGCTGAGACTGCAGACCGACATCGTTTTCACCCTGCACCCTATACATACTTTCATATCACCTTGGAACCTGCGGTACCGATGCTGGTCTGCGCCAGGCTTCTTGCAGGGTAGTTTGATGTACTGGCAGTGTAGGCAAAACAAAGGGAGCCGGTCTATCTGCCTTGAACATATCATGCACTATATCTGCGACCTGCTCCGAGCTAGTGTCTGTCTGAACACCCAGCGCCCTTGCCAAATTCTGCATGAGGTCTGTGAACCCTTTAGCTGCGTCTTGAGCAAGGATGACGGGCTGCGGCTTGGGGTCGTCTCCCAATGGGTCATCAACCTCCCGGCGACCTTGGGAATCAGTAGATTCTGAGTCCTCTCCCGACTCCTTTGGGGAAGTGAACTGTCAGGTGTCTCCTAG